TCCTACGAATCGCAGACGGTCGCCACCCTCCCATTGATAACCTCGCGCCGGTCCATCCCCCGCCAGCAACGCTTCTCTGCGATCCCGATACGCACGACCGTCCGTACCCACCTCGTCCACACGTTGCATATAATCATGTCAAACGGTCCACCCCAGTCCATGCCTCTACAAACCCAACACCAGAACAAGGTTGATGATGGGAGTTCCGGTCCCTTCGCCTCAGATACAAACACCCATAATGCAGCAGACTTCAACGACATCTCTTTCCCTTACGTCTCCAACCCTCAGATCCAGTTCCAGACACACACAATAGCACCCTCGCCGCCCTTGTCCGAATCATCCTTTCAGCAACTGGAGCCTCCCTCGAGTCAGAGACCCGGCCCCAGTCCACTTGCCGCCAGCAATTCACTCCGAATCCAGACGTCAGACTTTCATCCCAACCTCCCCACACGAACCGACATTCACTCAAACGACGCCCTTTCGACCCCGCGCCGCCCGAGTAACGCCCTCCAACATAAAACCTCGTCCTCCAATCTCAAACCCATATCCCGTACCCCAAGCTTCAAAGCTGCCATCGCCAACAGCCTGGGTCCCGCCTCGGCTACAAGCTCGTGCATGCCTAGTCCCATTCTCTCGGCTATGAGCGACGTCACCCCGCTGCCTTCACCTTTGTTATCTGGAGACTCGCCCGGCCCTTGGAGACGTCTTGGGGTGCGACCGCCTTCAAGGGATCAAATGCAGAACCCAGCCCCGGACTCCGTCCTCGTCACGTCTACCGGCGAATCAATAGCGGTAGCCTTGGCCAACGCCTCGAAACGCAAAGTCTATGCTGGCCTGGTGGCCGAGGGCTCTGACGGTGCGGGCGCAAAGGGGCCAGTGAATGGCAAGGCCGAACACGCGCGGAACCGAAGCATCAGCGAGTACATCCCGGACCCCAATTACGTTCCCAAGCGACACATCACCGTCTCGGGCTCCCACACGAAGCCGACAAACGGCCCCGACTCTGGCCTCGAGCCGCACATGCGCCGGGAGGCCAATCTTGCAGAATCAAGAGGCCTGACACCGGCGATTGCGCAACCACCGACCCCGCCACCGAGCGAATCATCAAGAGACTCGACCGAAATGGCGATCGGCAAACCGAAACCCGCGATACCCGAGTACTTTGAAGCCTACGGCCGCGACCGAAAGAAGAGAAGATGGAGGGCAATCAAGACGCTAGGCCAGGGAACGTTCAGTCGAGTGATGCTGGCAACGAGCCAGATGGATGACGGAAGCGAATTACTACGAAGCGATAACAGCCTCACCCCGATATCCAAAATGTCGCCATCATTCAGAAAGACTCTTGTTGCGGTCAAGGTCTGCGAACACGGCCCTCGAGGAGGAGCGAGCGAGGAGAGAATCGAAATGTCACTGAAGCGTGAACTCGAGATCATGCAGACCATCAGCCACCCTTCCCTGGTCCACCTCAAGGCGTGGAACATTGAGCCAAGCCGCGCCATCTTGGTCCTTAGCCATTGCCCTGGGGGCGATCTGTTCGACGTGGCTACAGGCCATCGCCAACTCCTCAAACCAGCCTTGTTGCGAAGGATGTTTGCCGAGTTGGTGGGCGCTGTACGGTACCTGCATGAGCGCAGGATCGTCCACAGGGATATCAAGCTCGAGAGTGGGTATTTCTCTTGGTAATGGAGAGCTACTCTTTGCTGACTACTCCCAGATGTACTCGTGAACTTGACGGCACCTGAGCTCGCAGACCCCTCAATTGACTGGACGACATACCCGCACTCGGTCATCACCCTCACCGATCTCGGTCTTTCCCGCCGCATCACCGACGACGAGAAACTCGAGACGAGATGTGGCTCGGAGGATTATGCCGCTCCCGAGGTTATCATGGGTCTGCCCTATGATGGCCGCGCCACCGATGCGTGGTCTCTGGGTGTCTTGCTCTACGCACTTCTCGAAGCTCGCTTGCCTTTCGATCCTTACCCAAACACGATGGACGGCCACCGCATGCGCAGTCGCACCAGTCACCGCATAGCACGTGCGGAGTGGCGCTGGATCGACTATGTCGGCCAGGATGGCGATCACGAAGGCGACGAAGCCAAGTTCAAGGAGCGCGGTCTCCTCGGTGCAATGGAGATTACTGAGGGCCTATTGCAACGCGCAAGGAGCCGGTGGGTACTAGAGAAGGTGGCAGACAACGAATGGGTCAAGGGAGCGATCCAGGTCAGCGGCGGCGTGCGCTTCCGCGAAGAGGTACAAGGCGCAGAGGTTTAATGATATTGGAGAGGCGTTCTCTCCGTGATACCCCCTGGCAATAACGACGGGACACAGGGAAAGGAAATGAGTTTCGGTTACGGTATTTGGGGCCTGGTTGTACGAATAGGTGGGACGGACGCACGGTTGGTTGGCGGACGGACAGTGGGCGTATATGACAACCTGGCATGCCCATGATGACTTGCTTCTTGGTTGTTGGGTACTTCCCATTGGTTTCCCCTTTTTCTTTATTATGTTCAAGGCGAGTATTTCGCACTCGCATGAGGGCTGGGAGGGAGCATGAGATGTCAGGGCTCTCACTCTCAGCTCTGGGACAGTCAATGTCCCAGTCTATTCAGTGACCTTTTTTTTTCTCTTAGATTTGAGCTCATGAACTGAACCCAAAAAATACTTAGAGACGGATGGCTCAAACTTTTTATCTACTTTTTATGGGGATAGCGACGGTGTTTTGTATATATCAGCTGGGAAACCAATCTTTCTTCATCTTTTTCTTCTCTCCGATTCGCTTCACTACTGTATAACTTTTTCAGACGCGTCTGACTTGCCATAGTCTACTTCCTCTTTTTAAAGACTCGAGCATTATTTGTGCCTTTCATTTAGGTTTCTCTTCGCGCCTCGATGCTATTCAAAATCAAATATCAAATACCCGTCTTATTATGAAGATGAACCGCTTTATCAGTGATTTGCGATGGTCGTATCTCTGTGTTGGGTAAGTCCCTTCTTGATTTGGAAGGGCTTGTTGTCATGCTGAGACTGTTCACTTCAAAGGCCGTCGAGGGAGTGGCGTCCCCAGACTTGGAGATGTTGTGTTCTAGAAGGGTTGTGAGGGTTCCATGTCAGGCGAGGACCGTCTGTCGGTGCGACGTGGGCGTGGACGGAGGGGTTCCGGCTGTGTGGCTTGGAGTGGTGGTTGTGGGGGAAGGATGGAAGGGGGTTGGTGATTTGAGATGATGGGATAGATGGTGACCGTTCCAAATCGTACCTTGGGGAAACGGTCTCGACTTTTGGGGAAAAGACGGCGGCACGCGGACGTTGGTCTACGTTACGGGTGCGATGCCGGGGTTCTCTTTGTTTGGGGATTTCTTTCACCGGATTTGAGGTTGGAGGTGAGAGGTGAGGGTTTTGGTGATGTGGCGTTGGGGTTGAAACATACGGCGTTGATGGGGTGATTTGGGGGAAGTTGGGTGATCGGAGACACCGGCGTGGCTTGGGGCTAGAAGGTGGGCCGTTTTTTTTTTTCGTTGGATGTTTCTATTCTTGGTTCTTCGTCGGCATTGGAAACCGTTTACTTTGGTAACGTCGTTCGATCCGGAGGGTGAACGACGGGATACGGACGGGGGGGTTTTGGTGGTGAGATTCTCGGGGCGGAGGGACCGGGGTGCGAGTTTGTTTCGGGGCGGGTGGTTGCGGGGTCCGGGGCTGTGGGGCCCGGAGGGGGCGGGGGTTGGGCATGGGTGTGGAGAGATGCCGGCGGGACGTGTGGTGACGAGCTGGATGCAGGTTGTGGAGACTGTCGATTCGATTTTGGGATATTCGAGTGGCTTCAAGCAACGTTTCTCTCTTTCCGACGACGGGTGAGGACTTTCATAGAAGCCTCTCTGATGTGGCATGCGGGTTGCGTGGCTTTTTCCCAAGTCGGTCATGAGAGCTGCTGCGATTCACCTCTGAGGGGCTTGCCTCGTTTTTTTGTAGGGCGTCTGAGGTGCCTTATATAAACGGCCACTTGTCGAGGATATTTTGTTTCTGAGGGCACAACGTGGGTCGAATGCCAACCAGTTGAGGTTGTGCGCAGTAAATTGAACTGTTCGCGAAAGCATAAGCATCCGGTTCCTCACATCTTACCCAGAGTGCAGATACCATTATCTCAGTACTAAGCAAAGTACCTCATCCGTCGTTTATTCAAGAGCAATACCCAGCGGGTAGAGAAGCGTCCCAACCAAGAGGGGGTGGGGCATAGCTTTAGGATAGGATTTGGGATTTGACGGAAGAAGGGTCTAGCTAGGAGTCCTAGATGATTCGTATCTGCGGCTACCCAGTAGTTTCCAAAAGAAATGGCGAAAGTTCGGCGGGGTTCTTTAACGTGTGCAAGCCCAGACATGGCTGAGTCGGGGGTACAAATGGTTTATTTGTAAGGGTTTATATTGACTTGGTACCTCGACGGTCTTTCTAGTTGAACAGGTTCGCGCAGTGCCTGCCTAACAACAAGTCACAATCTCCATCCACATGAAAGTTTGAGTGAGGGAAGTCACAGCACATAAGACCATAGTAAGATCGAGACGCGGTACCGTGGCCACTGACCTCGAGGAGAGCAGTCTGATTGATCCATTCGGCTTGTCGGCCTGAGAACAGGTCAGTGCTTGATGGACCGGACTTTCAATGTTTCAAAGGATGAAATCAGACCAGACGTGCTGTACTTCTGTTACTAGGGACTGACGATCAATCAACGAGTTACAAGAGATGTTGCTAAGGGGTCTGGTTGTCCCCCCCCCCCCCCATATTTGAGTTGAGCTAATGAGAATCAGATCAGGATAACGAAATCATGCTGACCACCTCCAGTTTGTCCAGGAAAATTCCTCCAATCAGAATGAATTGCTAAGAACAAGAGGGGACTTGTGTCAATTTGTGCCCCAACGAAGCAATGAGACTTCAGAGCATGATGTTGCCACACAGGCTAAGCCTCAGCTTCTCAAGCCTCAAAAATGAGAAATGGCCATATGGAATATGCACTAAAGTCCAGGACCATTTCTCAGGTGCTTAACACCACCCTCCAATTGAGCCCACTGATCCAGAAGTACTCGAACCTCTTGACCTGTACTGGCTTGGCCTGATGAGAGCATACGAGCAATCACACCGACCGCAATCGGGGTAGCTTTGAGCCGCATGAGTTAGCTTCGAGAATTTTAGGGAGAATCAACCGTGAGAGGAAAAACTGGACAAGGAGCTCTTACAAAAGCTTGTGCCTTCCACATCGACAGGCTCCGTCGCACCGCCAGAGGACTTCAGTTGAGCTTGTATCCAGTAATCAACACCTGAGATACGTGGCATTAGCAATCATCTCTTCAAATATCCAAGTCGATAATTTGGAGGCGAGTAACCAGCATGCTTGGATGGGCCAGGCCTTTTATCACTTACGCTTCCCATAGTTGGAGCCTTCAGTTTCATCCTCGACCCAGCGTTTACCATGACGGTCTAGGCCGCCTATGACGATGACTCTCTTATCTTCCATGCTCTCTGGAAGATCCATCAACTCCGGATGAGTATCCCAGTTAGCCTTGTATCGTCAGTAAACCCTGCCAATAAGTCTTCGTGGCTCACAGTGACCGACAGACCGAGATCATGTAGACTTACATTGTCGTTCCCAGCGGCAGCTACCACAATAATGCCGGCTTCAAGAACAGACGAGAGAGCCTTTCGTCGCTCCTTTGTGGTCATGAACCCAACGGATATGTTCATGATACCACTCAACTCCGGCTTTCTCTTCTTTTCGCTGAGGAATTGCTTGCGAACTTGATCGAGCCCCTCTGTCCAGTCGTAAATGACCTTCGAGGACTCCGAACCCCTCTCCGACTGGGTCTTCTCCGACTTCTCTTTCACCTTTTCATCAACCTTGCTTTTTTCCTGCCTCTCTTCATTGATCTGCAAAGCTTCTGTGGCAGTTGCTCCAGCCTCCTTGCGGCCAACAACAAAGATTTCACACTCACGAGCGGCACCAAACTTTTGGCCGGCGATCAAGGATACAACTTTACTGCCGTGGGAACTGCGCTTGTCTTCGATTCCTCGCTTTTGTTGCACCTGCTCATACTCGGTTTTATAGAACGAAACGTTAGGACGGAGAATGGTTCCATTTTCTAAGCCGAGGCGAAGCTTTTGCGATTCATAAGGAACTGGGAACTGAAAGGGGCAGATAAATCAGTTAGAAAACTGAAAACTTGCCCTAGAAAGCGATAAGCAAAAAGGTCCGTCGTGACAACTACTCACATCTAGATGCTCTTCCTTGACTCCCCCTTCAGTCTCAAGACGCATCGCTATGTCTTTCTCCATAACGTAAACAACAACAGGTTTGTGCGTGTCGATGGGCCGCCAATAAACGTATCTTCCAGTTGAAGGTTGATTAGCACCTTTATTCGAGATTGTATGTAGAGCCAGGTTTTCGGCGCGGCCAGATTGGTATCTGAAAGATTTGTTTCCAATCTTGACGTCTCTAACCTCGTCGCTCATGATGGAAGAATTTGAGGCCTGCATGTTGACGGTATCGAACCCAGCTAAGAGTTGGCATGGAAGAAGGCTGTAGTAAACAGGGGTGCGGAGATTTGACTGGGGGAAGCTGAATAGTGTCTAGCTTGAAGTGTTTGCTGTGTCTTGAAGTTCAAACCTGCGTCCAAACCAGGGCTTTTAAGTACCCGCGATCCCTGTACTGCCATTATGTCTCCTCCACCATCCAGGCGACAATTATCATTGCGTAGATTTACAATACTGCCTACGAGTCTCAGAATTTGTGAAGCATACGAAGAATCCAACGCCGACTACCCAGACGGGCTCATACGTTGGGATGGCTCAACAGACCTTCGGCCAGAAGCCCTGCGAAGCCACTAGTTGACGCAAATCGCCACAGCCAGAACGCATCAAGACGCATCGAGGCAGTGAAAGAATATCACACCACGAGTTGATGCATCCAGTGTCAGGAAGATCAAGTTCAGCTGCCGACACGGATGTGGCTGGCTGAGCCTTAGCATTCAAGCGCTTAGTGTGGAGGCTAGAGTGGTGGTATTCAGCAACGACTAGGGCGCCACCACAAACGACCTGAGTCTGCAAGAAAAATGATCGCCTCACGAAGGATTGTAAGCTTGATGAAAGGGTGTTCTCACTGTAAATCTATGTCTTCAATTGTTGTTGTGCGCATCCGTTTTCATTGCACTACTAGTATGCATCTCGATGCCTTATCACACTCGAGCTAGAAGGCGAGTAGCTTCAGAAGCCGTGTCAAGACCCGCTGTGATCACACGTGCTAACTAACTTTCGTCACTACCATGTCAGCGAGAAAGACGGAAGGGAGTGTGCTGTGGGCTGTGGGATAAGCGTGGCACAAAGCGTCATTGGAAAGGGAGTATCCCAGGAAGTTGTTTCCGGAAGTATTGAACTCAGAATGTTATCAAAGTACTTTGATACATTGTGACGGCGTGAAGCAATGGGATAATACCCGCGTGGATTCTCTAAGTGATACAACTACCTTAGTTAAGGCCAAGCCCAAGTACTAGTTTGTGACTCGAATTTGGTTTGGTTGCTTCTGTGAAAAACTCTGAGATGATTTCGTCAATTAGCGAGTCCATAAGCGTGCGGTTTATACACTGCTGGTCATGTGTACCAGCTGACTAGAGACATGTTTAGTTGAAAGCACATAAAGGCTGCTAGGTCACAAGTGTCGCGACTGAGAACGTCGAAGCTGCGAAAGCGTCATGAATCTACAAAGACTACTGCGGTTCGCAAAATAACAGGGCACAAGTTCTGACTCAGACTAGGAACTTCCACAGCACCGGCTGCAGCAAGAGGTCCATCTCATCATTTCTCTCTCTGGATCACATGCAAAATCTTGAATGTAGCATCTCGAAGTGAGCGAATGGGCACGGAATTTGGAATAATCAAAGCGTTGTATGTTAGCTCCGATTTGATGTGAAAATGTCTCTAGTCTGAGTTTGTCAAGAATGCGCAGAGGGTGATGCTTTCGTTTGCGTACAGAGACTTCAAAGATTGACTGAGGCAACTCATATTCCCTTCAAAGGCTGATAGCAGTAGGTCTTCTGATTGTATGTCGAGTCAAACATCTCTCTTAGGACGTCAGAGAGATAAGCCAAAAATCATGGCAAACCTTCAATCAATGGGCTGCTGACTTTGAAGGTCGCATTCGAGCTGCTTTGGTTGCCCTGAGCCAACGTGACGCCTTGGCGTTTTTGCATCATGTTTCCAGTCACAGGAGGAACCGCAAGATGGAGACAAGCGAAACCTAGAATAGAGAAAGGGCAAAGTGTAATTCCTCGACTACATTAGGTTTTATATCCAAGAATGCTGCTATGAAGGCTTCTCTGGCCGCGCATCGCAAATTCATGCACAGACAATTAGCAAGCCGCCAATGGGCTTGAGACAATAGATTTTGGTAAGGACTGTGTTAATTATGATTCTGAGTTATTCCAACAAGAGATTGAGGTAGTATGATTGAAAAGAGCGTGCTTTAGACAACCTCATTGTCTACCACAACTTACAAGACATGCATGCGCCAAAATATTGAACCTGAACTGTACGGAGTGAATCCCTAGAACCTAACCGTAGTTCCCGCCTTATCAGAAAAATCTTGGAATCCAGTTTGCAAAATTGGATTGCTCGGTTGTTCGATGGTATCAGTGTCTTTGTGCACCGGCCTGGCCAATGGCAGTAACTCCTTAAACAGGAAGGGAGCCAGATATGGGGGAGATCGTGTTTCATCAATCGCAAGTTCAGGCTTTCGACTGATGATGTCGACTTCGGATACGATGCGATTCAACATGAATCGAACGTCCTGACGGGCTGTCTCGAGCCCCGCAGGAGTGGGATCGTACGGCTTAGAGGCGCGACTGGGATCTCTGACGATAGCAATAAGCGATGCTTCATCATCTGAATCCGCACCGTCACTTTTGCCCTCATTGTTGGTACTCGCATTTCGATCTCGCTGCTGGCGGGCGGCTGGGGATTCCACAAGAACCTCTAGTCCTGCACTTACATTGAAAGCAAGGACTTGGAGGTTCTTAGCAATCGTCTTGAAGTCGAGATAAGCCTCCTGGAGGACAGTCGTGTAGACTCCGGCTTTCTCAAAGCTGGGAATGAGGCTATGAATGCTCTGTCCAGCTTTTAATGCCGTCTGGAATGTTCGCAAAGCTGAGTACTTGGTGAGAATAGCATGCGTTCGCATCGGGGTTCGAGCGACCAAGTCAGGGAACTTGAGAGCGGCCGCTCTCATAGTTTCCAGAGTCCAATCTTCTTCCGCTATGATGGGAAAAATGTTAAAAATCCCAATCGAGTGCATTTTGGGACCGCAGTAGACTGGTTTACGTACGTTTTTTCAATTCTTGACCACCTCCTGACCACGTTACTGACACAGTCGTCTCATTTTCCTCGAGAAAATCTCTGTCGTCTTTCCCAAACTCACCATCTGCGTCCAGCTCTAGCTTCTCCTTGGTAAACTGAATGGCCGCACTTGTGCGTCAAAGGTTAGTCAGCTTGCAGGAATGATGAGAAAATCATGTGGATCGTACTTGGCTTTGATACTGGCCGCCTTCTGGCGATCCTTGGCCTTGATAGAAATAACAGCGGTGAACTCGCCGCCCTCCTGAAAGCCTTCGATATCATGTTAGACGGCTTGAAGAACCAGTCATCAAAAGGGGCCGATTGAACATACCAGAGATGTAGCTGTCACCATAGACTTCAGAGAAGTTCTCTGCTTTGACCTCAGGGATGGGGTCAAACTTGGTAAGAGAATGATCGTAGATCACCTGATTGACAACTTTGACGGATATCATGAAGCTGATGTCACTCTCTTTCACCTTTGAGGTGTTGATGAAGTCCCCTTTTCCCGTGGCGTCGAACGTGTCGTACTTGATGGAGAACGCTGCATTTATCTAAACAAACTCAATATCAAACCTCGGATATGGAAGCATGGTTTGAAAGTCCTACATTCATTGCATTGATGACATCGGTGACCTTGTCGATGACCGAGGTCTTGTAAGTGACGGCCTGCGCTTGGCCTGGAGGCTTAGATTTCTCAGATACATCTCCACTACGTTCTTTGACAACAGCGTTGTTGATGCAGAGCTGCTGAGTGAAAGAGTTGAAGCCTACTTCAAAATTAATGAACGTGGGGATCCAACATAACGAATCACCCACCAGAGCCAAGCTGCATGGCAGTGTTGTATGGTGCAAGGATAGTCGCCATGATGTGGACGGGTCTGATATCCGAGAGCGCTTTTGCTTGAACTGTAGGTATGGATAATAGAGAGATACAGAATTGACTGCGAAAAGTTCCAGTGGACACTTTGATAGTCGGAAAAACGAGGCTTAAATACAGAAACATGGTCATTGACTGCGGCAGCTGTCGTTCAGAAAGGGATGCATCGCGCTTAGAAACGAAGCCTAGGGCCACCTAATTACCAATCAAAGTTTTCAACTGCTTGAATCCTTCAAAGTACTTGAAATATAGTACAAACATAACATGAGACAAAAAGCAGGGCTGGGAGCTGAGGAACGCGGCAAATTACACACCCGCAATAGTCAGGCGTGGGCACCAGGAGCTTCTCAAAATCCACGCTGAACGAGGCGTAATGACGAACACACTTGGTCACTATGTGCATGGAAAAACAGCTTTCGATCTTCTTACCAGAAAATCTACAGTGCTGATCTTTATCCAGGCCAGCCTTGTTACGTCCTTTCACTAAGGTAAGTACACCATAACATGACAACCAAGCAATGGAATTATTCCAAATCAGCGCACTAGCCTCGTAGATTGAACCAGGGCTCCATGCCACCAAAGATATCTAGCTACCTAGGTGGCATACTGTATCTCAATATAGTGGCGTAGCCCTGAAAACGGTAGGAGGAGCAACTCCACGACGAGATCATTGTCATAAATCAGTTCACAGTTCCTCCAAGTGATGCTTTCGTGAACCGATGTTCCCAAGCCTAAGCTTTCTGTTTTCATGCCGACGCGTTTGGCCAAGCCCCAGCCACTTTCTCTGTTGAGAAGAGCGGTCTCAACCAGATCATCATGCTGCATGTCAGATGATGTGCCATTGTCTGACGCCCAAGAAGAGAGCGTATCGAATGCAGCAAGAGATGCAGCTTTAGAAGAAGCTTCGGTCCGTTCGTGATCTTCGTATGATTTGCTAACCGAGAAGAAAGCAACCTTGAGAGTCAACGAGGCGGCGGTGTCCAGAGACTGACTTTGTGATGAAGCTGCCGCACCTAGCATGGTTGCGTTTGCGCCACCAAGTACGAGCCCTGCCACGAAATATTGACCGTATACTTCTGAAAACGCTCTTTCGGTTGCCTTCTGGTCCAAAGATGATTGCAAAAGTGACACAGCGTGACGGGAAAGTCTAGGCTCATCGACGAATGTGACTATGCCACTTCGATAAGTGGTCCGGAAGCTGAGTTTCGATGACTATGAGAGTGTTAGGAGACTGATAGACGTGCGTGATTGAGGCGTCAAAGCTTACACTATCGTCGTCTTGGACTGCCTTTTCGTACTTGGCGCGACCTGATGCGCCGAGGAATGAGCCACCAACCTGGCCGACAAGGTCCAAGTCGACATGCTCCAACGAAGACCTTGCACCGAATGTCTCTGTAGAAGTAATGGTACCCATTGAGCAGCCCTGGAAGAATAACTCTGAGTCTTTCAAGGATTTGGCAGAGAAAGCCGACGCTGCTTTGCTAAGGAAGTAGGCCTTCTGTCCAACGCAGTCTGGAATGAATAGAGAATCTCCTGGCAAGACGATTCCTTTTTCCCAAGCCAGGATGATCGGTTTTTTGCATTTCGCCACATATTTCAAATCCGGGACAAGTGGATTTTGAGGAAAGGCCTGGAGTAAATTCATGATACTATATCGTGTGTGGGAGCGTCTGATGAGCTCCAGAAAAGGATTAATTAGATCGAGGCAATTTTGGCCCATTTTATTCTCATTCTCGATACTAGATAGTGCCTCCGTTGTCGAAAGCAGTTTCACTCTGTCATGGGGAAAAGTCTAGGCTCAACTAAAGAAGCTGTCTATGCGTAATGCCTGACGTCAACATTGATATTACAACGATGGCCTCGCGATCAATCTTGATGGCTCACCTTTCTCGATCGCATAAGATATGGTCCTTGACCGAAAACGAAGTGGCTTCTGTGACCGAAGATCTTTAGAATATTGCAAATCAAAGTCAGATGTGACGGGTGGATCTACTAACAAACCAGGCGATGGACTTAGTCTTGTGGCGGCTGAGACAAGCAGGCCAACGCACAGCTGAGAACCATCACACTTGAACCATTTTAATCACTCCAGCCTAAACCCAAAACATTGGAGTTGAAGAATAAGAGAAGTTGAGAATCGGAATAAAGTAGTATGAAATTGGCGTAACGAGCCGAGTCTTTTCTCCGCAATAAAGTATGTATAGCTCGCATTTGGCCGATGGCCAGGGTCAATTAGCATCCATCTGCGTTCAATACTTACTACTCACTAATATCTAAAGCCTAAAGAACTCGAGATATCTCACAATGGCCCTTCTTCTTGCCCCCTATAATGAGGCTATGCGCATTGGCATGGGGTCAGTTCCAAAACCTTGACCTGGTGACTTTACTAGACGGATCTAACAAATGCGAGCAGTTTCAACAGCTACACACAGCAACTTTGTGTCAACGATGTAGTTCGAAAGCAAGGCAAAGTCCGAGCGACAGACGCTGACCTTCAGCCTGTGGAAGAGAAGCAGGCCTCGCCAACTGCCGGACTTAATGAGGAGCTCAGACCTCTCTCAAAAGATAGTGGTACCATTGTCAGAACTCATTCGGACGGCAGCCAAGCTGGAGTCAGTCAGACAGTCAGCTGGGATGCGGGTTTCGTTGATAACTTGAGCGACGTCTCGAACTACTTGAACATTAGCGGTAAGATTACCTTCGTACCAGCCCATCGACGAGAAAGATAGGGACAAGTTGCGTACTAATTTTGTGATGTGTTCTCCTAGGTGCTCTGACTATCACCTGTGCTGCTATTGGTGGAGGTGGGGGAGCTGAAGCTCATTTTGTCGATTCGACTAAGTTTATCAAAAGCGATGCTCGTTACAGCATTCAAGTCAAGGTGACAAACCAAAGACTCATTGCTAGCGACGTGACGACCTTCTGTCCCATACCCAACATCCCTGCCTCCAAGTTTAACGAAGTGTACGGAGACTCATTCATTTCAGGGTTCATTGAAGGAGGGGTATTGAGCGCTCTTGTTCTCAAGAAGTTGAAACAGAAGGGAGACTACAAAAACATGGGTGGCAAGCTCTCAGTTGACATCGATCTCCAGGCGGCTAAAATTTCGGGATCAGCCAAGGGAGACAAGGTTGACGTGAACGATGAGACAAACACTGAGACTACCATCACGTAAGGAAAACTCCCATACTGATTTTGTGTTGCACCGCTGACAGCATTAGAATCTCCTGGTCAGGAGGCGGTGACATCAAGCCTGACGACATCGGCGACTGGAATATTTCAACGCTGACCAAGGTTGCAATGGAGTTCCCAGACAAAGTGGCTATTTGTGAGTGATTCCATATTCTGACTGAACCTAATGATCCAAGTAGGCAAGCTAAGCAAGCCTGTTTTCAACGCACTAAAGGCCCTCAAAGAACTTAGTACGTTTCATTCAAATCCTGCCAACAAGGGATAAAATACGTCCTGGTAACGATTTACCGGTAATCTGACGAGGCTTAGTGCTATACTCACGAAATACACATCCCTGCGCAGTTTTCACGAGCAGATGGTCAAGGGTTCTCCTCTTGATTACGAAATTGCGGGCATCTACACAAACTCTCTTCTAGATGCATATATGGTATTTGCCTCCTTCTTTTTTGTGGTACTCTGCGGCTTATAGATCCTTGTTCCAGGAATTCAAGGTCATGTGGGCAGATCTTAATGAAGGCAAGTTATGCCCTCTGCGATGCCAGACACTCCTTGACTAAATATTTTCAACAGTCTTGAAGGACGTGAAGAACGGAAAAGCGATCATGAAACTACGCAACGTCAATGAAAAACTTCTGACATACCGAGAAGACGTCCGCAAAGACTACGACAAGCGCCTTGCGAAGTTCAACGAATACAGCTCTGCTCTTCAGAAGTCAGCAGCTTACAACAGTCTGATCTCTGTTGAAGAGCCTCTCCCACCGAACAAAGTCGAGCCCTACCCATGCGACCAGTTTGGCCTTGACAAAGCATTGCAAGATTGTCGGTTCGAGATGATTAAGATCGTGCGAGAAGTCAATGACGTTACGTCTGATCCAAAAGTGGCTATCGACCCTACGAGAAGTTTGAGATATCTCAGTCCTTACATATTCCAATTGCTTCTTCCCGTAGGTCTAATGTGCTGCTAGATGGAAACCAGGGCTGTTCTCCAAGCTGACCGAAGACATTAGACAGACAAAGAACCCTTACCATCCCCAGAGGAGATTGCCAAGATGAAAGCCGATCTGGAGAACAAGATACAAGAATGCGCACAGCAACAGTCAAAGCTCATCGATGCTCAACAAGAGAAAAACAGGCTTCTCGAGGAAAAGAAGTCAGTCGAAGAGAAGCTTTCAGATGAACAGAGCAGAGCCATTTCCGGTGTCCAAGAGTCAGCCGATAGCACTGTCCGAGAGCGAGAAGTGAGAGAAAAGCTAAGCATCAGTGAAAAATCTCTCGAAAAGCTTGAAGAACGGCTTCAGAATCAGGAAATCATGTCAAAAAATACTTTGGAAAAGGCCCTTGAAGAGGCAGAAGAAAGCAAGGCTCAATTGGGAGGTCGGATCAGTTCGCTCGAGAAGGCTGCAGTCATGAGCGATGAAAAAGCCGAGAAGTTCCAAGATAAGCTGAAGGCTGCTGAATCCGAAAACACCCAACTGCAGACACGCGTGAGCAAGGCCGAAACTGACCTTCGGAACAGTAGCCAAGAAGCCGCTCGGGTCAAGCAGGAGCTCGCACAGCTCCGCAGTGAGTTGAACAGCGGTCCCGAGATTCTAATTCTCAATATCATCTGGGGCGACCGACAGTTTCTATGGGAACCAGAGGTTAAGGATAAGGTCTTGATGTATGCACAGAATAATCGGGAGTTCACCTGGGATAACGATTTCTTTTGTGGCATTGACCCAAAAGAGAGAGTTTTCAAGAATGGGTACATCGCGTATTGGAAGCGGGGCAAAGCGCCTGTCATACTGGTAGGAAATGAGCGGACCCAAGGGCGTTTCAGATGATTTCAGTCTATGAATAACGAGTTTGTAGGTATCCATCATGGTTGAAGTTGACTGTCGATGCTTCCAGACATCCGAATTTATGTGGTGTATTGCTCAATAAACTATCAAGAATACCCGATCAGAACGTCTTTGAAAGGCTCAGCTAATTATTCAAGGACCGAATATCCTACACGATCAGGTTCACTTGGGCTTAGCTCCAAATAGTACAGGCAAGATCTCTGAAAACTGAAAAGAGGGGCTAAATTGAGGGGGCGGGGTAGCTTCGACCACCTGCCAAAATACGGACCATCAACCTCCTCAAGACTCTCTAGCATCGCGCAATGCGAAGCATATGCGGCCATACCCATCTGGCTGAAGCTTGAATATGGTAATGAGCGTTGAGATAGTGATGATTGCCCGATGACGCGGGCATTGATATGCCCCCCCCCCCCCCAAAAGGGCTAGAACACTACGTCGTTGCCTGGCCAAAGAACATCATACCCTGCCCCTTCATCTAGGTTAATCGACCCGCCCATCACCGCCAAATTGGCAGGATCAGAAAAGTTCATGTCCGCCGGCCCGATGAATTGCCCCAGATCATCTAGATCTCGCCATGAGAAGCCCCTGACCAGAAGATCGGGCTGATGAGGGAAGGCAGCCATATTCGAATGCGCATGACCATGCGACATCCCGCCAAACCCTTGATGATGGTCGGCATGTCCACCGAGACCTCCATACCCATTGCTGTTACCGGCACCGGCCGAGCTCGGTACAGTCGGTACGTGCACCGACACGGACCCGGGGCCGCCTGCCCCGTTGTGGAGACCGAAAGCCGGACACGACACTCCGGTGTTGGTGGCATCGACTGCGTGACCGTCAGGACCGGAGATGGTGACGTTGGATTGTAGGGTAGGTCCCTGACTCCGTTGCTGCTGTTCCTCTGGTTTACTACGCCATAGCAGGGAAAGAAGGCGCGCGTAGCGCTGACCCAGGCTGTGTGGGCTCAGGGACGAGCGTTGGAGGCCTTCGATTGTGACGTTGATCGAGCGGCGGACGCTTTCTGAGGCTTCGCTTCCTAGGGCGCCAGCGAGACGGGCCTGTTTGTATCAATCAGCAAAATGTGCGAGAGAGTAAAGGTAAGATGACTGGCATACCTTGAAGAGAAACACGGCCGCGTAGATTACGTAGAGGTAATACTTTAGCGGCATGTACCTCAATCCGGTAGCCGGATCTACAGAGGAGTTGAGGATGTTTAGAAGAGAGTTGGCCGCGTCCATTGATTCGTAAATGAAGCGGGCGTCGGGCGTACTAGCGAGGTCTGCGAATAGGGGGCTGCTGATAGTCGTCGTTGGAGGCTGCGGCAGTGGTTGTGGTGGGTGTCTTGCTGGCGCTTGGGTTGCCGTCGTTGTCTCGTGTCCGTTGTGTTGCTGTTTCTGATCTTTTGAGGACATGTTCTGCTGTTGACTCTGCTGGCTCTGTTGATATTGTTGTTGGTTATGCTGCATCTGTTGCTGCTGTTGTTGGCGGGCTTTGGTGATCGCGCGGTTGATTGTTGCTTGGAAGGCGAAGGCGTTGATGTAGAGGCGGAGGAATTCGTAGGAGAGGTTGAGGCCTGCTTTTATTAGGGGCGTGACTGGAGGTTGAGTATTAGTTGGGCTCATTCATGGGGTGTGAACCCGAGGGCACAAGGGTGGCTTGAGAAGGTTGTCGACTTACAGTTGAGGCTTCCCCAGACGATCTTCCATTTACGAAGTACTGCAAAAGAGTCATCCTATGGTTGTTAGCCAAATAAGGTGACGAGGAATGGCACTCGAGGCTGATGGAAAGACTGTCAAGAGCGACTTACTATATACCTCACGTACTCTCCGCCGAGATACAGCTGAGCTCTATGACTTGATGATGAGTATAGTATGTCATGAGCATTGCTGAAGAGCTGTATCAACTCAAGCTGAGCCTGGAACAGCTGTCCGAGGTTGTCTCCCCCGGCTTCCTGTATTCTTAGAGATGGGAAGTCCGCAGAGCGTGGTACTGTCGACGGTCCCGGCCCACGGGACCAGAACCCCTTGCCTACACGGATCGACACTTCCCTATCACTCATGTAGCAAGCTGATGACCCAAAGACACAAACGTCAGCACGACTGCCTCTTCACTTTTCACCAAGGAAAGGCTTACCAGCCCAAACCAACCTCTTCCTCCGAAACGTTTCCGACGACGGGCTCGTCTTATCCGACAACAGCCCCGTCTGCTCCAGACTCTGCAGGTACCCCAGCCGTATCGCGACGCCGATCTGCATCCACGCGCCCTCGTCCTCCTCGCCGCGCCCGACGGTAGGCTTCTCCTGCAGTCTCTGCGGCGCCCACTGCGCGAGGATGAGCAGGGCCTCGACGGCGCCGACGGTGGTGGACCCCTTGTAGATGAGCTTGGAGATGAGGGTCTCCATGTACCGCGAGCAGGCCTCGTGGACGCGGGTCATGGATGGCTCGTCTTTGGAGGCGACTGTGAAGATTGCGGTGACGAGGTGAGGTTCTGAGTCGATGAGGGAGGAGACTGTGGCGGGGGTGTGGGTGAGGATGCATTTGTCTGCTACGGGGAAGAAGGGGTGGAAGTGGTCGATGTATCTGGTTGTGGTTAGCCCTACGATAAGGGGGTTTTGAAGAGGATGGAGTGAGTGAGGGGTGTCATACAATGTGAGCAGACGTGAAGCGACAGGCAGACTTAATACACCGTCTGATATTGGCGGATAATGGGTCGCCGCAGGTGTCGATGGCTTGCGTGACCCTTTCCTAGGACTGCACTTATCCCGACCCGGAGCATCACTCACAGACAGGTGTCGCATATCGTCACGCCGTTCCTCCCCATCGAGGTCAGCAACCTGCGCCAGGAGATTAAGCGCGTCAGAAGGATTCAACAAGTCACTGGAGGTGATGTGGCCCTCGATATCGCCGGAACTCTTGAGGGACCGGGTCGACCGGCCGCCGGGGCTGTCCGGCTGCGAAGTGGAGCCGGGCCAACTCGCCGGTCTCTCTGCCGGGCCGTCGTCGTCCTCTTCGGGGGAGCACGACCAGGGCTCGCCGCCGTCGTTGCGGTGCCGAGAATCCGCCGGGCTGGTGGAGCGCTGGTGGGAGGAAATGCCGACGTCTCCGGCTCCCGGTCCTGAGTCGTAGGCTGCCGGCCCGGTGACGGTGTTCGAGTGTTGCTGTTGTTGTTGATGCGGGAAGACGGCATCGTCACCTTGTGGTAAGCGGACAAACTTACGGGGCCGTCGGCCGCCTCTCCTTGATGTTGCTAGGACGCATTCTTTTTGTTCTCTTACACAGCGACGGCAGGGTGGTATACCTGGGTTACCACCATAGTCTCTACATGAGGGCGAAACAAGGTGGTGTTAGTCAAAAGATAAGCTGGGTCTTGGCAGGCGTTTCTCATGAGTTTCCAACCGACACTCATATCTTTAATCCAATTACCGGCCTGCACGCCGTGGCATGTTGGTGTACATGTGTGTTCATGATATCTCTCATATAGTAGAGGGGTAACTGGTACGGCGAAGTTTACTCACAAGTCACATCTCGTCTTCCTGAGCCGGCAGGAGACGCAAGCGCGCGATACCCGCCTCTCTTTCCCAGTAGCCGTCACCGCGTGAGGCAAGCGGTGGTGCTGCTGATGCGGGGGACTGACCATCGTCGTAGAAGGCCGGCGGTCGGTGACGGGGGCGGCGGCAGCGGTGTCCACAGACATGGTGTTGCGATTATTACGTCGGCGACTCGGTGTGCTCGGTTTCTCCTCCTTCTCCTCCTCTTCCTCCTCTTCGGTCCAAGCGTGTGGGCGCGAGGGGGCGGCGGCGGCGGCGGAAGCGGCAACGGCAGGGCGCGGTGAGTGTCGGGCCAACGCGGCGGTTGGTGATGGACCGATGGTTTTTGGACTGAGTGGAGCACAACTGAGGGGGGACTCTGGGGACTCTGGAGGCGTGAGAGCCCGGATGCGAATGGGGTAAAGAGAGCATCGGCACGGCAATCCAGGGCTAGTCGTCCGTCATCTACGGAAGTACGGCAATGTGGCTGGCTTGTTTCGGCGATAGTTGGGGGGTTTTAATGTTTTTTCTGTCTAGCGGTGGTATTGTCGGCGTAAAATTCGATGCATGACGCACCTTTTGATGGTGAAGGTTTACGCACTACCCTGTTTTGCGACTCTCAAGACTTCACAAATGTATACTTTTTAGGAGTAGGGTATAATTCGCAGGTATTACCGATCGAGAGCTAGCTCGTCCCAAATCCCCTCTTCCTTTGAACTTTGAGTTTTATGGCGGCACAGCTGACTTCTAAGGGGGAAACGGTAGGGAGTACTTGACAGCACTCTACAGTCTGCACTAATACTATCCGTACTAACTAACATAGTGGTAGCTGCATAGGATTCGAGACCCTGTTGAACTCTCTACGAGCTTGGTCTCAACATCCATGTCTAATCGCGTGGACATCACCAACGAGACTAAAGCTGCTGCTCGTCATCTGCGACGAAGCAGAAAAGTTCCCATTTTCTTCTCGCAAGTAATAGCGTTCCATTCGGCGAATAATCTCTATTTTGCCTCGGTGGGTTAGAAAAGTCTCGGAGTCTCCTCCCTCTCATTCGGCACTCATTTCAACCCGCCGGCGAGGACCAGCTCTTGGCCAGTAAGATATCCAGTCTTGACAAACCTAGGGGCAGACGGCGATCACGGGTCAGCACAAAGTGAAAAAAAATACAAAAGAGCACCACAATAGCTCCCGCCGGTCAGTTCGGTAACTTACATTACGACAACGTTTGACACCTCCTCGGGAGCGCCTAATCTGTGGACCGGGACGCTGGCAGCAATGGCCAGCCCCGGATCTGTGGACCTCAACTCCTCAAGGTCATCTTTACTATCCCAGGTTCTATAGGGCGCTCATGTCAGTGAAATGCCAAGACGGGACTATAGACGACAAATGTCTGCTGCTCACGTTGATTTCGGAGTGGCAATCATGCCAGTGGCCCCAATCATGGCGGGCAGCACCTGAGAAGCAATGTCAGCACAGCTCAAGCAACAGTCCATACTTCACTTCGACCCTCGGCCCGAAGACGATGAAAGTTGAGGCTTACAATATTCACGGTAACACCCTCCGGTGCCAAGAACGTGGCCAAATTAAGACCCATTGAGCTGCGGCTTAGAGTTAGACAAGCTTCGGCCCCCATTTCTCGGTCACGCCGTAAACGACCCCAGAAGACCGGGACATCCCGCCGGGAAACTAATTAACAAGATATACGAACATGCCAAGTGCGGATAGAGCATATCTCAAAAGGTCACAAAAAACAGATGACTGGGAAAACACTCACCAGAGAGCGCCCTTGGTAGCGGCGTAGTGGCACCCGTTGATCCCCCCACCGCGGCTCGCAATGCTGCCCACGAGAACGACACGGCCCCACCCCTGAGCGCGCATGCCGGGCAGGCAGGCCTTTGTCACGACGAACTGGCTGCGGGCGTTGACCTCCATCATCTCGTCCCAGTCGTCTTCGCCAATGTCCGCCGGGTCGCGGATCCGGCGACCGAGGCCGGCGTTGGCGACGAGCACCGAGACGGCCTTGTGCTTCTGCGCGACCTCGCCGTTGGCGAAGATGCTAGGCACCAGGTTCCGGGTCGATTCCCTCGAGGAGAGGTCGGCCTGGAAGGGGACGAAGAGCTGCGATGGATACTTATCGCGCAGCTCTTGAGCCAGAGCATTCGCCTTCGCCTGTTCTGGATGTTAATATACCGAAGAGATTAGGCCCGTGGTTTGCGTGGGTGGCCTCACGGGCCGTAGACCCGTATGGTCCCCCGTGCACCCGTGGCCCCGTCCCCATCTTGTCATCGGTGATGCCGTACCTGACTTGACGAATAGTGTAATGCGACATCGCAGCCCTCTGCGGCGAGAGCATGGGCAACGGATGAGCCTATGCCACCACTGATCGCCGGTGAAGATTATCTGGTCAGCGGGAACATACGATGACAGCCTCACTAGCGGAGGGGTCCAAGGTGGGATGGCCACTTACCTCGCCCCTGTCACTAGAGCTAGGCGGCCCTTGGTGGTGTTGTCTGTGCTTCTAATGCTGTATTGGACCATCTTGACAGTTGGACCCTTGTAACAGACCTGCGGACGGTTCGAGACTTTTGGTATGCACCTTGATGATAGGTAGGTAACAGAACACGGGCTAATCCTGTTCGAGAGGTACTCGTCGGCGTCGTGTCTGGACTGGGATATCTGGGCTATTCCGTAGGTACGGAGGTAGACATCCAAAGGTTTAGATGAGTTGGTTCATAAGGTCGATTGAGAGGGCCCTGAATGAGGGGTTGGGAGAAGGGCGCGGATCGAAGGCCGAGCTTTGATAGCCGAGAATGTTCAATTGCCGCCGCTATCGGTGACAGTAAACTGGAGCATGAATCGCGGGTGGCCCCAAACATGCCACAGCGCATCGTATTATTCTCGTGTAAATGGAATGGCAAAGACGCCCTTTTCTAGTTAGGGACACTATTTGATGGCTACTGCAAGGCAATTGAGAACTTTCGGCAAACGAACATTGAACAGCTGACCTAGATACATATCCATAGTGTATTGGCAATTGCCGACCTTCAAGTCTCTTGAGTATTTGTCAATTGCCGACTCTCAGGTCGTGACGCGGTCACAAAGAAGCTACAACGCCACGAAAGCGTACCAAAAGTTCATACTTTCAGTAGCCGACGCGTCTCACCAGCAGAAACTCTGCCTGCATCGGTTACCCAGAAAACCGCTCTCCTGCTTGCGTGTCAACATCTGAATTGCCGTCCGATGAAGCAAGTTGCAAAGAAAACTTTGACGCGATTGGTCTCGAAACGGCTCAGACGGCATTCGACGTCTCCCCTTCCCGCAGTGAAACCCCAAACTCCCCGCAGAAATGCTCTACCCCGTGTCGTGTGGATTCCCGGGGAAGTGGTACTAACCGCGTCGATCTTGATACTTGGCGTATGATCACGAACTGTCCGATCGTTTCTCGAATTGTGTCCATGTGTTTATAAACGTTCACAGAGAACCTTCAGACGACAGCTTTCGCGGGGAAGCGTTCTAGTTCAGTTCAGACAGTGAGCTTACCGCACGCTCAAAGGTGCAAGAGCCGCTCCTTTTCTACACCCCATACTCTTTCGACTCCCGAGCCTACAAAGACGAAACTCCTTATTCAAGATGGGTGAACTTCGAGGGCAGCGGCTTGTCTTGGCCGTCAGCGTTCTCACATCGCTGGGCTTCATGCTCATCGGTTATGACAATGGCCTTATGGGAGGACTGGGTACGTTATCCCTACAGACTTCACTGAGATGCCAGGAGGTGGATCACTTTCTAACAGCCCTCTTTAGTCAATGCCCCGGCATTCAACTCGACGTTCGACTCTCCAGACCCGACCATGACAGGCCTCATCGTGGCAATCTACGAAGGCAAGTAGGCTCGACGAGGGGACTCGAAGTCCATGATTACAGTCAGCTGACTCTGGTATCTCTAGTTGGCTGTTTCTTTGGCTGTGTAGCAACGGCGTTTTTCGGCGAGAAGTACGGCCGCCGAAAGACCATTGGAACTGGTTGCTCTATCATGGTCGTCGGTGCCATCATTCAAGCCGCTTCGTATGGTCGCGCTCAGATGATTGTCGGGCGAATCGTCTCTGGTGTCGGAATGGGCATCGTCAACTCCACTGTTCCTGTTCTTCAGGCCGAGTTCAGCCCCAAGGCAAGCCGTGGCATTTGTAAGTTGGAACTTTCCCGCGAATACAGTTGAGATTGCCAGGCATCTCAGCCGACTTGAGAGACAGGAAACTGTGTAGAGCTTTGCTGACCTAACGGATTATAGACGTCTGCGCACAACTATCTACCCTAAACTTTGGAATCTTCCTCATCTACTGGATCGATTACGCCTTCTCGTCACACCTTGAGAGCTACGCCTGGAGAGTCCCAGTTGCTCTGCAGTGCATCTGCATCCTGCCAATGTTCATCATTTTGCAGTTCATACCAGAGACTCCGCGATGGCTTGCAGCACACAAGCGATCAGATGAATGCCTGGCCGTTCTGAAGCGCCTCAAGTGTGACGAGGACGAGGACACAATTCTTGCTCTGCACAACTCGATCACGCAAACGGTAACATACGAGGCCGAAAACAGCGCGAGTTCGTGGCGAGACCTCTTGGTGCAAGACCGTATTCAGAGCCAGAGGAGATTTCTCATTGCGTGTTTCTTGCAAGGCGCACAGCAGCTTGGAGGAATCAATGCTATCATCTGTGAGTCGTATTCGTAACTAGAATTGTTTCTTTGTCTTTGGATACAGGTATACTGACGGCTGTCCCTTCTGAAGACTACAGCGGTACTCTATTTGAGAAGAGCATCGGATTCGATAGCCACATGTCAAGCCTCATGTCTGGATTCCTGCAGACCTGGTTCTTCGTTGCTTCGTTTATCCCGTGGTTCTTGATTGATCGCGTGGGCAGAAGACCTTTGGTAAATACTCATCACCCCTTCATTTCCCCAATGCGTGGTAGGAAAAAGTCAAATTAACGAGATACGACAGCTCTTGTCTATGATTAGCGTCATGGCGGCCGTCATGGCAGTCCAAGCAGCTCTCATCTACCAGGTTCAAAACTCTACTGCCATCGCCAAATCAGCTGGCATTGGCGCTGCGGCCATGCTTTTCGTTTTCCAGGGTGCCTTTACCATCGGCTTCCAGGCCACTGTCTGGGTTTACCCGTAAGTTTCCTCTTCTAGCTGTTCTGCCCTTTGTGTGGAGTCTTTGCGCTAACTGCCGTGCTCGTATTACAGGTCGGAGATTTTGCCTCTGCGGATTCGGCAACTGGGCTCGTCCATTTCCAGTGCTACCAACTGGATTTTCAATTACGTGAGTACCCTGCGGATAGAAAGATGTACTCTAGCAGCTGCTGATTGATCGAATATGTAGATGGTTGTTCAAGTTACTCCAATCTCTATCTCGAGTATTGGATGGCGTACTTACATTATCTTTGCGGTTTTGAACGCCGCGTGGGTGCCCGTCATCTACCTGTTCTTCCCTGAGACCAAGGGATTGGAGCTGGAGGATGTTGATCGCCTGTTTGCCGGCGATGACTTTGAAAATACGATCCATGATAGAGATAGCAAGCATGAAGTCTGGGATATCGAAGACGTCAGCAGGGCTTAGTCGTGGTTGCTGTTAGTGCTGGGTCAAGACTCAAAGCACAGGTTGGAAGCCATTGCGGCGAAAAAGGGGCATTGGTCACAGATATTCAGAGTGAAGCTCATGTGGATTTATTAGTATGAATTAGAGCAGTGTTCTGAAATTGATTATCTGTGGTATGGCACCTCCAACGTTTGTTAGCCATTTTCGTGCCGTTGCGCTGGTACGGCCACGACCACATGCAGCCAGCCTCATAAAGTAGACTGAAAACCATCTTCATGGCTAAACTGGTGAGGAGGCCCTCTTTTGGGTAAAATGGATTTTTGAAAACTTCTCTAAGAACCCAGAAATTCTCCTGAGCGGAGAAGGTCTCGACGTTATATCCTGACTCGGTGACGCGGGTTGGACTGCAACTAGCATGGGAATAGTCTACACTCTACAGCAGCCGGTTGGCCTCCGGTAAAACTGAAATCATCTTGACGCGCAATGCTTGAGCAGATTAATACCATCAATATCCGTAGTCCCTCGTTGTGTAAATGCCGACCCGTGACTATGCACGTGAGGGAGACGCAGCTCTTGAGACATTTGCCGAACGCAGGCCGAACACTGGCCACAGACCCACGAACTCTATCCTGTGACAGGAACAGGTGCATCGTGCCCGCAGTCGTGCCCCGCATCCGTGCGACCTGGAGACACAAAAACACGCCAACTGATTGCTCTCCAACCGCCGTCCAACCGTTGATTGTCGACGCCAAGAATTCCCGCAGTGCTTCTCGAAGAACCTTCTTGGCAATTGAAGGCAATACGACGTTGATTGTCTTGATCAGCTTAATACATAACTCATCTTCAGCTCCTTACAATGGCAAACTTTGTGGTCTACGATGACCGAATCAAGAAGCTGTTCGGCTCCGCACCGTCGCTCGAGTTGTTGCACGAGAACCAGGACTACCCTTTCGCTCACGAGGCAGGCGTCTTCATCGAGCGTAACAACACGCTCTTCATCACTAGCAACCAGTACGACGACCACGCAGCCGGCGGTCGCAAGATCCAGATCAGCCGCGTCACGCTGCCGTCGGATGGCAGTTCCAAGACAAAATGTGAGGAGATCAGCCCCGCCATCATAACGATGGCTAACGGAGGCGTCAACTACCTGGACGGGGTTGTCTTCTGCGCCCAGGGTACGCACTCCGCACCTGGAGGCCTGGTCTTCATGGAGGCGGAACCACCCTACCAGACCCGTATGATGGTCAACTCGTTTCACGGACGGGAGTTCAACTCTGTCAACGACGTTGTGGTGCACAGTGACGGCTCTTTGTGGTTCACCGACCCGATTTATGGCTATGAACAGGGTATCCGGCCGAAGCCGCAGCTTCCCAACCAAGTTTACAGATATGATCCCATCCGTGGGTCGATTAGGGCCATGGCCGATGGCTTCGGCCGGCCGAATGGTATTTGCTTCAGCCCTGACGAGAAGACCGTGTACATTACGGACACCGACTGGATTCATGGTGATGGCTCCACTGATCTCACGCGAGCGTCAACAATGTGAGTCCTTACTACGTGGCTTCACCAGCTAGGATACGACACCTCTATGAGATCAAATGAACTAACAAAGATTGACAGTTACGCATTCGATCTGGTCCCCTACTCAGGGGAGCCCTTTTTGACAAACAGACGTCTCTTTGCCATGGCTGATACCGGCATTCCGGATGGCATCAAGTGCGACGTGCACGGAAACGTGTACAGCGGCTGCGGTGACGGCGTCAACATCTGGTCTGCAGGGGGTGTTTTGCTAGGGAAGATCCTTGTTCAGGGTGGTGCTGCCAACTTCTGCTTCGGCCGCAATGGAGAAATCTTCATCTTGAATGAGAACCGATTATGGAGGGCCAAGTTGGCAGATGATACGAAAGGAGCATTGCTGTGTATCTAAGCATAAGTACATACAAACATGGTCCTGACTTCTCAATAGCTCATGATTTTCTGAATCAAACGGCAGTTGTGAAGTGATTGATACCTGTAGCTTCGTGGGCCGGGGCACAATAGAAGACTCAGCCTCAGAGAACTGAGAACAGCTTTTCTCTCTTCTACTTATTCTGTTCCAACAGCCATTGAATACCCTTGAGTGTATCTTCCACGAAGGTCCTGCTCTTCTCCAGGAGTGGCCAATTGGTCCAAAAGTAGTGAGGCAGCCCAGCGTAGATATCAAGCTTCGTCTTGACCCCAGCTTCCTCTCTCAAAACCCGCTCATAGATCAGTCCTTCGTCTCGGAAAGGGTCCAGCCCAGCCAGCTGGAAGTATGTTGCTGGCAGCCCCTTGTGACCCTGACCGATTCTACCATAGTGAAACGGAATGAAGAGAGGACTCTCCACGTCGGGCTGAATGATAGCACGCAGTGCCGCTTCTCCATCACCAGCGGTGTTGCCTATGACAGGGTCTTTGCACGGCGTAACGGAGGGGTGGCTGAGGTACTCGGGGCGATACTTTTCTGGTATGGATTCGGGAGGAGCGAGACACATGATAGCTGGGACGCAGAGGTATTGTCCCGTGAGCGGCGGGGAGAGATTTTTGTCGCGGGCTAGGTGGGCGAGGACAGCCGTGATGTTACCGCCCGCGGAGCCGCCACCGATGATGAAACCTTGGGAAGGGTCTGCGCCTAGTTCGGCTACGTTCTCAGCGGCCTAGGACACGACCCTTGGTCAGTCACGACGCAATTGAGGAGGTGGATGCATGACTTACCCATTGCAAAGCGTCCCAGCTGTCATTGATACCGGTTGGAAAGGGGAACTCGGGAGCGAGCCTGCTTAAGTCAGTGTTGATACAGAGCATCGTGGCTCAAGCCGAAAGCTAACCGATACTCAACATTGATGCAAACTGCGCCGAGATCTCTACTGAAGAGGCGGCAGTTCACCTCTTCGTCAGAGAGATCACCCATGCACCACCCTCCCTCGTGATACATCACAATGAGTGGACTGCCTCCAGAAGGGGCCTTTACGGGGGCATATACCCGAATGGCGATTTCATGGCCGTCTCTCATGGTGACTTTGCGGTCATCCTCGCGGACCTGCTCCGGAATGGGGCCGGGGAGGTAGCGCTGGTGATGGGACTCACGCAAGCGCGTCGCCCGATGTTCTCGCATCGCGAAGAAGTCATTTCGTCCAAAGTAAGGGTCTCCGCGCTGCGGGTCCCGGAGAGGTCGGGCAGCGAGTTCCTGGAGAAGGAGATACATTGTTAGCATCTATGCATGCTCTGAGAAGATAAAAGTTAGTGGACGGTGGGCTGGCGTGAACTTACGGCCTCGATTGACGGATCGACTATGCCATAGGCGAGGAGCTCTTCACGAGTCCGCGGTGCCATAGCTCACAGGCTTGTTCAGGTCAGTCCGAGGAAGTTGCTGAATGTGTCTTCAGATGAACTTTTGCGGCGTGGTGCGGGGGTGTAAGCTGACGGAGCCCGTTGTGGACAAGGCACATTTGGAATCTTCAACGCTAATGTTGGGAAGGATCTCAGATTATCTAATCAGTATAAACACAATGAAACAACTTGTATGGAGCATCGATTCAAGATATCGTTGAGAAATTGTCTTGGTTGATACCAATTTTTTACTCGATGAATCTGTAGCCTGCCGAATTCCGCGTAGTGCAATTGGAAAAGGGGTGCCTTGGTTGCCTAAAGTAACATAGCCCGCACAAAGGTGTTTCAAAGCTGTGAACCAACGCCGAATGCACACGTTCGCGGAAAGATTTGGCATAAATGGCATTCGATGAATTGACCTCTTTGACAGTACGGCTAATCGATCCAGCCCCGATTGGCTATATGAAAAGAGGAGAGGTCAGGACTATTGTGATCCATCGACCAGTCGTCCGCTATGATATCCCATGCATCGAAGGATGTATAGATCGTTGTAAAGAATGATAAGTACCTGTTGGTGTTGTGTTTCATACTGAGAGACGCATCCAATACCATTGGCCGCAGTGAACGGAATTATCATCGAGTTCGCGGCCCCCAATGCTTCTGAGCGAGGGTTCATCAAGAGACAATGAGCATCAAATCACCAAGGGAACGGTCGCGAAGGCGACTGACCGAGCTGTACACACCGAGTAATTGGCTGGCATACGACAAGGCGACTGGTTGCCTTGCCAAGCCCTGGAAGAAAGGAACCCAAAGTTGACCCGGACGCGCCACCAAGCACGCGTGATGTACTAGATACCCTTGCTAGAAATGTCAACAACCTACACACCTCTTCTTCGGAGCCAATAGAATGAAGAGCCGATCGGGAAGCCTGGGTCTTGTTCCAGCCTTTGCTGCACTTTGCCGCCATGAGGAAGGTGATTTCCGAAGGACTCGAAAGTTGAGAGACTGTGGGACGTGTGTATGAGTCTCTCGAAAGGCGTTATCGAAGTGATTGTTTCCGGGGACTCCATTCCCACATCCAGGAATCTGATGCTTCTAACGAGATTAAATGGACATTGCGGAACTCGGTGGTGGGTTTGGAAGTTTTGAATGTTGCGACCGCCAGTGCGGCTATGATCTTCGTTACATTTCCCTTCCTCGGGTGCCCTAACCACCCTTCCTTCCCTAAGAGGGACTGGCACGAGACTGATCAGGGGCTCGGGTGTATAATTACGGCAGACAATAGGCAGTCTCTCAGTGAAGTCTGTTAAAAATATGTCGTAACTAGCGACTGGCCAAAGGAGACCCTGTCCACGATGCGACGTGTCCTGCATCCTGCCACACCCTCACGAAGTTACGGCTCGGCAGAACCATTGGTTTCTCTGCATTTCACGATACTTTTAGAAGAATGGATCATCTAACGGCCACAGTTGATCCAAGAAGGAGAATAAAAGCAAATAAACACTAGGGCTTTAGGTGTCGCTGTTATCGTGGGCTAGCCTCTGAAATATTAGGGCCCCAAAAGCCAACAGCTACTTCATCCTCCCTCTTTCACTTTATAGAGTCGATTTAGGACTTGAAGGTCCGCGCCTCGCACTCTTTCTTTAACTTTCTTCTCTTTTTCGAATTCTCTGCACGTCTTCAACCTGGATGAGACGCGGTGATCTTCCATGTCACAACTCTTCATCGCTTTCTAGAGTCTTACAGAATACCCCAAGTAAGTGAAAGTTGTCAAAAAGACTTCAACCATTCTTACCTAGGTACAAACTAGCGGTGTACAAGCGATTAGACTGACAAGATAAGTTTGACTAAAGTACTCAGGCTGGCGGTATGGTGCTCCGCTGGCTAGATTATTGTCAATTACCTATTGAGCTGCAAGAGCTGACTACCAAATATACAGTAGCTTATTAATTCGTCAGAGATGGAGCAGTCCGTTCAGCCTTCGACCAAGCACAAGCCCAACGACGCTGAGGCGGATAGACCACAAGGCTTAATGGAACCTCAACCATCTCGACGGACAGAGCTGTGAGCCCCAACATCATTTCCGTCTCTTTTTCTTGATGTCAGCTAAATTAATCGCTATAGACCCTCCGAATCTTCACCATGCCCACCCTCAAGCTCAGTTGCTGCACAATGCGGCTCTGCACGATCGACAAAAGCCTCACATGAAGAAGTAAACACAACACAAAAGCCCGATCAAAAGAAAGACTTGAAAGACTCGAAGGACTTGGAGAAGCAAATATCTTTAGATAAAAGTACCTATCGAGGTATCATGGAGGAATTGGTTTCACGGGCTGGCGACCAATTCGATAATCAAATCACGGACCCGAGGCAGATTAAGTTGGATGTGTCTTAGTCAACCAAGTAAGGCTTCACGAGAGTACGACGCCTCAGCTTCGCAGCTACGCCTTCAAGAGCTCAAAGAGTTTATCAAGCTGCCAACCCCAGAATAGATGCTGTCCAAAATCCAAACGGTCCACTATCCACCTCACCGTCGAGGGTCTACTGTTGTCGACGGCTGTCGCGGCTCACGAGTCAGACCGGGATCCATTTTGCACCAAATCCACACTTTGATGGAGTCTTTCTGCGCCCTACGTCATCGAATGACATCATGCCGTCGCAGAACCGTTGACCGAAGGTTTTCGGTCCTTTTCTCAGCCTCCCGTTGGTCATCCCGAAGAGAATCAATGGGCGGGCCGATAGAGTGTTTCTTTCGAGGTCTGCCCCTCCAGCCCCTCGATGTGGGTCATATCGGAAAGAAGCGTAGAGAGAAATGCCATTTCAAAGCCTCATGTTGTAGACAAGTGTCAGGTCAAGAGAAGAAGTGCCGTTGATACCAGGTGATTGAATACCGTGTACAGTTTCGGAGGAGTTGTCAGGAACATCCTTGAGCTTTCTTGTCCACGCCTTGCTGTCATTGGCAACGAAGCTTGCGATAAGACATGCTCGACAGGGAAGTGAATGCAGTGCCGTATTCCTGAAACCTGTCTGCGCTCTTTTTTTTGGAACCCACTTGCCCCTCCGTCCATGATCCTCCCAGGGACCGTCGCGTTGTTCCTGAAGATGACCCCCCACCTTTCACAAGCTCGCCGATCATTGAAAATCTGTCACCAACAGTAACAAAGTTTCTTTCTTTTCTCTCTTCACTCTGTTTCTTCCATCATATTTTCATCCTTAGAATTGCCATATCATATCCTTCAAGATGCCTCAAGTAAGTAAAGAAACTAGCTTCCTAGCTTCAATGGCTGAAGTTTATGAGCTATCTCAAGGTCAATCCATCTAACCGCTTTCATGACAGATCAAGTGCCTTCTCTTCGACTGCGATAACACGCTCGTTCTCTCTGAGAACGCCGCTTTCGAGGCCTGCGCTCAGCTCGCCAACCAGATCCTCGAGAAGTTCGGCTTCGAGAAGCGATATGGCGGCACCGAGCTCATGCACCAGTTCGTCGGCCAGAACTTCCGCAGCATGATGACCGGCCTCTGCGCCCGTCACGGCTTCACCATCCCCGCCGACGAGTTTGACCAATGGGTCGCCAAGGAGCTCGACACCACCATTGCGAACCTCCGCGCAAAGGCCGAGCCCTGCGAGAACGTCATTGAGGTCCTCGAGAAGCTCCAGAAGGACAAGAAGTACCACATGGCCATCGTCTCCTCTTCCGCCATGCCCCGCGTCGTCGCCTCCATTGAGAAGACCAAGATGGACCAGTTCTTCGACAAGCCCGACGTCGGCATCTTCTCCGCTGCCAGCAGCATCGACCCCCCCGTCTCCAAGCCCAACCCGGCCATCTACCTCCACGCCTGCGAGAAGCTCGGCTACAAGCCTAGCGAGTGCATCGCCATTGAGGACAGCAGAAGCGGTGCTACTGCTGCCAAGAACGCTGGCATTCCCCTTTTGGGATACGTCGGACCCTACTACGAGGAGGGCCAGGAGAAGCTGGACTCCATGATCAAGCTCTTCAGCGAGGAGCTCGGCGCTTTTGATGTTATGCACAACTGGAAGGACTTTGAGAGCATCTTGGCCAAGTACGAGAGCTCATAGATACCCGCATACTGTTTAGACTTTTTTTTTGAAACGAATGGAAGCGCGGCATAGGCTAGAAGCTGCGTGAATGGCATATCACACATAGACTTATAGAGTTTGGAGAAACAGATACGAATTGAACGAAACCCTGAACGTGCAACTCGGTGTCAAGAACCACAGTCATGATTGGCCCTGTCTGAGGTACAGCTACTTCAGACTCTCGCGCTATCGGCTAAGATTCACGAGTATCCCAGACTTGAGGAAGTCTCAACTGTTTACAGACTGCTTTCCATTCGAGACTTGGGATCCACTGCCAGACAGTGGCGACTGGTTTGATGTCACATTAGGCGTTTGTTCATAAAGTAAACCGCGTTTAAAGTCTTCATGCCTCGATTAATGCTCCGTGAAACCTAGAGGTTGATAGACTCTTTCAAGCCCCTGTCATCATGACTGTGGTAGTGACGCGTACTGTGATAACCAGTGTCCGCGTTGGGTCAATCACCTGAGCTGGCTCAAGAGTCACTACCGAAGTAGTCGCCGAAGCGATGCTCACCGTTGTCACAACATTGGTGAGGGCGACTTCGTCACGACAACAGCAAGCCGCAGTCACTAGATGTGTGTCTTTTTCGTCATCTTTCAGGGCCAAGCCACCCACAATGGCAGACGCTACACCTGTCAGAGAGGATATGAGAGTCAGCACTAGCGCCACGAGACCGACCCAGTACAGTGTCCAATCGCGGTATCGCCGACGGTCACGTAAGAATTGCCTGAGAGTCCGTGGCGAATAGTTGAGAAATTCTTTCTCCAATTCCAGAAGCCTGGGCAACCAATAGTTGTAGCTGGCAGCCTGTCTTGAAGTGACCGGCAATTGCCCGGCACGAGGGTCGATTCCGCTCAACGACCTGACTCTGCGGGGCAAGTTGCGCTGGAACTTTCTGTGATAACGCTTAAACCAGTCTAGGCTATCTAAATCGTTGGAAGGAAGTAAGAGCGATAGGGTTTGCAATGTCTCTTTGACAAAGTTGGGATCGATGAAGTATTCACTAGGCTTGTTATGTCAATAAACTACAATCTGTCAATGGTTTATATGCGAATAATTTACTGACGGGCTCAATGTCTCGTTCCAATCCTGAAGTCTCTCAATTGCAGATACATGGAAGAAAACCAGGAGGGTTAGTCGGTTCGGCCTCCTCTCGTGCTTTTGCACTAGGAGGTGTTCAAGAATATTGTCGGTAGGCTGTATGACGAAATCACCGAACTCTTGGAAGTCGCGCAAGGTGAATGTGTGCCCGAATACCTTGTTATCGGGAAAGGGCTCTTGTTGGGGGAGAATAGATCTGCAGGCCTGGGTGATTGTGGTGTTCTCTAGGTCCCATTTGAAGTCATGTTCGCCTGGTAGTCGGCTCTCGCCAGCTGTGTTGAAACGATGCAGCAGCAAAACTTCGACGGCGAAATCGATGGAGTTGTATACTTCATCTGTCTGAAAAGGAAAGTTAGAATTATACACTCTGGCAAGGGGGGAGTTGGACGACTATATTAAATCTGATTTGAATCAAGGAGAAACAGTATTACATACGGGCGTAGTCGGCAGCCTATTTATTTCCGATTGTGGAAGCCATTGTCTGCTAGCACGTAAATTAACGGCCAGTTGCCCGATTTGTGACCTTTGCTTTTTCACGTTCTGTTTGACTACTTCGACGAGATCTAGTAATTGGCGGAAGGTGCGGATAATGTGTTGATTCTCGGAGAAAACTTCGAGTTTTCTCTCCAAAGCTAAGATGTAACTATCCAGCTGGGAATCCAGTCTAATTTACAAAATTAAGTCAGATATTATCATTTGAGGCCGCCGTTGTATTGGGTGTTCGACCCTTGAAACTCAGAATAATTGACTTGACATATCCTGTTTGCAAGGACTTTAGCCAGGTCGTCCGAAATATGGGCTCGGTAGAGCCTGCAGTCAAGGCGGTCATCTTGAGCATTGCGGCTCATTGAAAAAAGCAAGCAGGTATTAGGCAAACTTGGGGCGTGAATACTCTGGTTTGTGACGAAGGCGGCTCCAGGTGCACAAAGTTTGCCATGGAAGACTACATATCTATAATATTTAACCTGACCGAGCAGCGTTTCCGTATTTCGACAAACGGGCTACAGGCGTACACAGATGTACCATACCAATGGACTTGATCCGATGCATCATGCACAAGGCCGCATGAATATTGGAAATGAGCGCTCGCACTCCGAGACTTTGGCGATATTGCGGAATGGCTAGCCAATCTTCAGTCCAAGTCCATTGATAGACATGCATGTGTGTTGACAGCCTGCCTACATCATTTTGAGGCGAGCTGCAAGGTCAAAATCAATTGGTCATACCGAATGCACATGTCAGTAAACTCCACAGCAAATGTAAGTTGGAATGCGGCTGGATTAAATATTTTTTTTCGCGAGTGACACCGGGGCGCGGTTTGTGTGGCCCGGTGATGCCTTGCATTGGTCGCCTGCTCACTCACCGGACAAGAGTGGTGTGGGGGGCTGTGCAATGTAGTGTCAGATCAGCAAGGCATTCTCAAGGCATCGACGAGCAGTGGCGTTATCGAGGGAGAGGAGCTCCGACGTTACACAACAACACCCGATCATTTGCCTCGCCAGCGGGCATCCTCCGCAACACATCGCCCACCACTATATATGCGGGATGAACTTGATATTGTCGTGCATCGCTGAACCGGATAGCAATTTGCACATCAGCAACTTTCTGACATCTCCTGGAATCAAGAACTCATCTTGTCATGGACTCTGGTGCCATATTACCACGTTCGAAGCAGGTTGTTGGATCATCTAGAGATCGGCGGGGAATCAATGCCCAAGGACAATTCTCCAATCATCAACAGAGTTTTGCTTTCTTTACCAGGCGAAAATTCATGAGTCTATTTTGTTGCAGACCCAACGATGTCGATACAGAAGCCTCCGAAATACCCTCTAGCACTTGGTACACACCACACGATATCAAAGGTGGATATCAACACAATCAACCTCTCACCACTGTGAACGGCGAGAGGTTGTGGCAACTAGACCCAAACTCGGATGTCAAGAAGTCCTGGAATCAATTAGAAAAGACAATAGATGCCTTCATCGCAGTTACTCCCGTCGACGAATATCAGTTTACTCCAAGAATCGTTGTCGAAGCATGTGAAATGGGACGAGACCGGAGCAAAACGCAACCAACAGTCCTCATTAGCTGCTCATCAAAGCCTTATGGGAAAAAGATGGCCAGAACATTGCAACAAAGTGGAGCCCTGGAGACTCACTCAGCAACATTCCGTGTGGTCGTCCGGCCTTGAGAAGGTCGTGTATCAGGGATGGCTAGATTACAGGGAATTGTCGGGATATGGGATGTGAAAATAAACGTGTTGTTGGGTCTGTACGTCTTTGTGTACTACTAGATAGGTTTCAGTACGAACTAAGGCGGTGGACTTTGGTTGGGGAAGAAGGATAAACGGGAGCGGGACTATCTAGCATATTCGAGGGCTCAATTTTTACCTGGCGTTTGGGGCACAGCCTTCAATTAGTTTCAACCCCTCATTTACCGATGAATCAAAGCCGCAGCCATTTTCTATCAATTGTGCGAAAGTGGTCATTAATAATGAAACTGATAACCGAACGCTACCCAATGCAGATTCCTTGCCTTCACAATGAAGACTTATGAATTCCATGGGGGTAAAATGCAGAAACTTCGATTCTTACTGCTACGAAATAGAGAGGCCGGCCTCAGCTCAGAAAAAGTTGTAACTCGTGTGAGGAAGTGAAAGGGTTACTTTCAAAATCTTTTCTATGCTGACCCATCTATAAGGTTGTCAAAATCTTCTACCACAGATTGACCATGGCAAGCCTCTGGGTAAAGTAATTAGTTGCTAGACGAAGCACGTCATTCTCTCACAAACAAGGTTTCTAGACCGAACTTCTGGTCTGTGTGCCGCCGTTTGAAACTCCGCGGGGCTGCACTAACTCCATGTGCAGTCGGTACCGATGCGGCATTTCCTTTATCTCCCCGTTTCCACCCCGATTTATTAAGCTCAGTCGCATCCATTAATACTCAAATTCGTTCACCAGAAGACTCAAGTATTAGCCTTGAAAAATAAAATGGCGGAAAACTCATCAAACAATCAAGAATATCTCGCCCAACCTCCGGCACCGTGTTGTTGGGCAGGCACCCTCCACGAAGGCAACCCTCGCGGCGATGTGGAAGAAATCTTGGAAGTGCCCACTTACGTCGTCCGCCCTTCAGACGTGAAGCGCGCCCTCCCGCCCAACGGACATGTCATCCTCTACTTCCCGGACGTGTGGGGCCTCTCCGTCAACGCCAAGTGCATCATGGACGGCTTCGCGTCCTCGGGATACACGGCGCTTGGCATGGACTTCTTTCGCGGCGACCCCATCTCCAAGTACCGCAACGCCAAAACCGACCCGCTGCCGGAGGGGTTTGACATGGCGGCCTGGCGCTCCAAGCACTGGAACTTCGCCACGGAAAATGTTCCCAAGTGGACAGCGGCCGTCAAGGAGAGATTTGGTGCCGAACTAAAGGCTGAGACGGGCAAGGAGACCAAGTTTGCTTGCGTTGGATATTGCTTTGGTGCGCCTTTTGTGTGCAATCTGCTCGCTGGGGCTGGTGGCGATGGGGAGCCGGTGGTTTCCGCTGGTGCATTTGCGCACCCGACGGCATTGAAGGAGGAACATTTCACCAGCATTAAGAGTAAGTTTGGCCACAATGAAGCTGTGCCCGTCTTCGACTATTCTCCATTACTATCGATGAGGCAGCCAATCTGGCGCATATGAGCACGATAGTACCGTCGTTACCATGACTTAATGCGTCATTCCAACATTCCAGAGTCGAGGCGGCTGACCCGTTTACCACAGAGCCTCTTCTACTCTCGTGCGCCGAGAATGACCAAGCATTCCCGACTGAGGCAAGAAGGAAAGCAATTGATTACCTTCAAAGAGAGAAGAAAATTTATCACCTTCAGGTTTTCCAAGGCGTCTCACATGGTTTCGCCGTGAAAGGAGATCCAACAGACCCTTACCAGCGTGAGTCTTACCAGCTAGAATACTTTCACGTCATCCCGGATGATCTTAACTAACTAAAAATAGGTTGGTGTAAGGAACAGAGTCTTCGTGCCATGGTTGACTGGTTCGATATGTGGCTGGTTCAAAGTGATTGAGAAGTTGATCTAGTGGGAAGATGGCGGGCTTGTTGGCCGTTGCAAAGGTGCCACTGTGTCAGGCTGGGCCAATGTCAACTGACCCCCACGAATGGAAATATTTATCAAGACAGCTTTTTCTGTATTTCCAAGTCGTATCATTAAAGTTTAAACTTGTTTTAAGCTTGATATCGCAGGTGGGAAAACTCAACAGGCTTGTATTAACTGGGACATGGATTAGTCACAATACTTGGCGTTGAAGTGAACTGCTGACTTTGGTCTAGTGAGCTACATTCTCGTTTTCGCGATTCGGAAATGTTGCCCGCGAGCCTTTTGTCTTTGGCTTTGCAAATAGCTGATACTGACACACAGAACTGCGATCCACGGATATCGCGGACAAGAACCCTACAAATCGAGAATTGAGAGTCTAAGACTCATGCGACCGCATGGCTAGGAGCTAGGGCTGGATATTGTTGGGGCTCGGCAGTGGCCGATTACGCAGGAATCTTTAAGCTTGGCGGGGAGAGCCGTTAGGAAGAATGGGGAAGGTCGCCATGGCCAGGGTTCCATCGCGACCCATGGCTAATTTCGGGGCTTTGGCTTGGCTGTCCGGATAAGGCGATGCTTCAAGCATCAATACGAGGTTAACAGAGCAGCTATACGATATCTACAGTCTTTGACAAGTTTGCGATAACCTCATTCAGGAGAAAAACAAGAGATTCAAGGGAATTGGATGTGATAGGGCACTCGTAGCCAATTTCCTCAACGGTAAACCAATCTAAAATTAGACCTAACTGGCAGTGAGGCCAGAATACCGGCTTTTCACTATTGACAGGAGCCGGCCGGGGTCGGATCTACCCGCGGCAACGGCGCCGTCGAGCTTCCTGAATAGGGCATCGGCCCCGTGTCACGCAATGAGAATCATGGCAGTCGTTCAACAACCCCGGACGACTCGGCCGACTCATGAACAGGAGATTCCGCAATCGCAACGGGCAAGATGGCTGCATTTAAAGGTCATTTAGGATCCGACAACCCTTCCCCTTTCCTGAGAAGGTCATCATCATCGACTTCCCAGTGCCAATTCGTGTGATCGACCAAGATGAAGGCATCGTCCATCCTCGCCATCCTCGGCGCCGTCGTGCCTGCCCTCGCGGCGCCCAAGGGCATCGACCGCCGTACCGACACGGACCTCATGTCCGGCAAGTACATCATCCAGCTCAAGCCCGGCACTACTCCCGAGGCCGTCACGGCGCATCACAAGGCGGTGCGCAGCCTCCTCCGCCGCCGTGATGGGTCCGCGGGCACGGTGGAGAAGACGTTCCAGATTGGCGACTTCAACGCCTACAGCGGCAGCTTCGACGACGCGACCCTCGAGGAGATTGCCGCTCTCGACGAGGTTCTCTCCGTCGAGATCGACCAGCCCATCTTTGTCGACCCCACTGAGCAGGAGTCGACGCTCTCCAAGCGCGATCTGACCACCCAGGCGAGCAGCATCTGGAGCTTGGGTGACTTGTCTCACAAGGCGGCTGGCTCTACTGAGTACGTCTATGATAGCACCGCCGGCGAGGGCACAACTGCCTACGTCTTTGACACGGGTATCCGGACGTCGCACTCTGAGTTTGAGGGCCGCGCCAGCTTCGGTATCAATGGTGTCACCGGGTCGACCGTCTCTCCCGGTTCAAACTCTGACACCGACGGTCACGGCACTCACGTTGCCGCGACCATCGTCGGCAAGACCTATGGCGTTGCCAAGAAGGCCAAGGTCATTGATATCAAGGTGTTCGACGGCTCTACGGTAATTACAGCATCTCCCTGTCCAGATTTCTTCGTGCTAATGATTCCTCAGGGCTCCACCTCAGCCATCCTCACCGGTCTCAACTGGGCTGTCAACGACATCACGACCAAGGGCGCGCAAGGCAAGTCCGTCCTCAACATGTCTCTCAGCGCCAAGAACGTCTCGGCCCTCGACAACGCCGTTCTCGCCGCCTACAACCAGGGCATTCTCACCGTCGTTGCGGCCGGCAACGACAACCAGCCCGCCACCGACACTTCCCCCGCCAGACTTCCTGAGTCCTTCACCGTTGGCATGACGCGCCCTGACCGTGGCCGTGTCAACATTATTGAGGGCATCTACGGCAGCTCCTACGGCCCCGAGCTGGACGTTTTCGCGCCCGGCCAGGACATTATTTCTGCTAGCTATAGCTCTGACACGGGCACGGCGACGAAGACTGGTACCAGTATGGCGGCGCCGCTTGTCGCCGGTCTCGTGTGTTACCTCAGAGCCTTGGAGGGCGGTCTTGTAACGCCCAAGGAGGTCACTGACAGGATCCTGGAGCTTGCTATCCCTGACGTTGTTGGCGACCCGAAGGGATCGCCCAATCTGTTGGTCAACAACGGCAGTGGGCAGTAAATGGGGCTGCGAAGAAGCTCTCGGTGTGGACTGATCAGCTTTATGTTAGTCGAGATACTTCCTGTAAATCACTCGGATTCTTCATGAAACTTTCCTCGTATGTCGAGCGTTCTTGACGGTCTCCTTTCAAAGACTTGTAGTGTGATGAAATCAGCGCGTGAATAATGCTCTGGCTATGCTTCAGCTTCAAGCTGGCCATTACGGACGTCGTCTAACGAGTTGTGACGTGATGACGTGTTCCCCCCTCATGCCAGAAAGATAATATGGCTTTGATCTATCATCAGATGAATGGTACATGAATCGAATGACGAGAAAGGCGTGCATGATCAGGCTGTTTTGTAACCCATCACAACAGAAAAGGATCAAAGACGGATGTTGATCCGAGAGGCATTTGGAAACCAAAATCGAAATTGCCGCTTGTCCAAAGTCCTACCCATCAACGTGTTGAAATTCATGAGTATCTAGCTAAGATAATTAATCAGACAATATTTCTTAGCTGGAGGTCTAAATTATGGGCACCACCTTGTCCCATACCCCTGAGCGAAGCATCTTTTCACTATCAGGAGCCGTTCGGAACAAAACGGCCAGCATTAGGTACCGGTATACAATTACATCGTCGGTGTCATTGTGCGGACTTTCAAGTTCCGCCAGTCGTTCCCATTCTGGGCAGTTGTCTTCCGAAGACGAATTATGAGCTACCACAATGGCCAATCTTTCCAACAGGCAATGAACGTTCAGGACACAATTCTTAAGGCTCAAGTCTTGGAAGCTGAAGTAGCGTAAAAGGTCTCGCCGATGCTTCTTTATCTTATCTCGAACTTGTTGGAAAGACTCCTGATGCTCTTGCGGCACATTAGTGCCTAGCCAGCCGATGTCATTGTCTTCGGAGAATTTTCTAACTTCATTGATGTGGTGTGAAGTGCTTTCGTCGAGACCGAAAATTTCGAGTAGAATGCGAAGAGAATTTAGCGCATTTGAATGACAGGAACGAAGATAATCCCGATTAATGTCTGGTAGTGAGCCGTAGTCCACGAAGTGTGCATTATCTGGGGCTGTGTAACGCTCCGGGGCATGGTCTTCATCCACTGCCTTGTGCGCCTTCAAAAGAATGACAGTGATTGGAGAGTAAGATTGAGCGAGATTTGATATGCTCGCTCCCTCTCTTTTCGAGCCAGCCCTGAACCTTCACCAGCTGTCTGTGAGTCCTGGATCGAATTTCTTTCTGGTTGCTGGCTGAAGAAGTAGCAAACCATTTCAGGAGCTTGGAAGGGTTCCGAAGAAAATTGATGCAAACATGAAGCACCAGCACGTCGCCCTAAATAGCCTCCAAAATCGGCCCCTGTTCGTTCATCCTTCTTGGGATCGTGTCGTCCATAGCTTTCTCGGCGACTTTCTCGTCATCGATCTCTTTGTCTTGACTTCGAGAAGTCTCAAGCTGTTGGCTTATGGCATTGACATTTCTCGTTCGTTGTCGTGGTATCGGCGCCAATATTCGATCAGATTCCCTCAGCATGTAGCTGATCCATAAGGAAACATAAGCTATTGGATCCTCGAGTTTGAGGACATCGTGCATTCCCGGAGGCATGACAGTATTCCAATATTTACGGAACCCAGACCATTGTGGTTGTTCATAATCAATCGGCCTTTCAGAGGGCGTCGCATTGTCAAAAGCTTCCAGACATAGTGCTGACCAATATCTTCCATTGAGTCCCACCGGTGTGAGAGGCAACTTAGTTTCCAGGATTGAAGCCGGGGAGGGCGCAGTAGCGCACATTGGTGTAGCAGCGAGAAAAAAAAAATGATGATCGGGCAGTAAACGTCCACGTCGTCGATACCGTTAAGACTGGGAAGGGAATGATCCCCATTGTGATTTCGGTCTCCCAATCTTTCAATAAGCTGAAAGCGGTGAGCTTCTTTAAATAGGTTTAGTGAAGTTTGGGGCATCTCATTGAACGAGAGTATCACACCATCTTCAAGACAAATCTCGCCGCGACAGTGTTGTGGCCATCGCCAGCTTTCCTGGTGGCGGGGAATCTTCTAAATTCATGTTTCTCGAGCTGGAACTTGTATCTGCGTATGGTTTCCCATCGCGGTCTCTCTGGGTAAACTGTGCGTATGCACCGATAGTACCAAGGGTAGGGTGCTGCCGAAAGTCGAACTGGAATTGCCGCCCAAGAATTACTGGGTAAAGAGACTTGTCGTCAGTCATCTTGACTTGAGCACCTGTCGCTGCTGCAGCTGCAATGATAGCTCCAACCTGTCCATACGCAGGAGCAGCAATAAGATCATCTGGGAGATAGTCCGCGGTAACTAACTGCAGGTGGCTTTTGTATTTTGGGTTATCAAGATATTCGAGGCCAACCTTCTCAAAAATCCTAACCCAGGTGGCAGCAGGATTAGCCTCGTACTTTGGCTGGGAGTCTTGAATCCATTGCTTCCAGGTCAAAAGCTTCTGAGTCCAGGAATGAGGAAGGGGAGTCTGTTGAGTTGCCGTCCTCGGGACAGTTCGAGCCGTCGACGGCCATAATGGACGTCTGATAACCATAGCTTTATGGTTTGAAGAAGATGATTGTGTTTGGAGTGGGAGCTTTCGCCTGGGGAGGTGTCCTAGATGAATCCGATTTTCAGCCCTGCTGCCAAGTACTTTATGCGAAAAAGGCAACTGCTGCTGCGGCCTGTCGGTGGAAGGCGTCCAGCGACCAGAAAACCCAGGCAGTGTTGCTTATTTCCAGCGCTTCCATCCCTCCTTCTCGGCTTTAGAGGAGCATTTTGTAGATCACTTCACACTTTTCTGCATGCGCTTTGCAGTAATGCCCACACACAAGATGCGGACATGCTTTTCGTGAGTTTTTACTACGATTTGATAGGTGGCGAGCGAGTCAGCCTTTTCAGGCGTCGCAACCAACATGCCTCTTCTCATGGCGCCCAAAGATAAGACTAAGCACAAAGTGCTGACGATAGCTTCCAAGATTGTGGGCGCAACTAGTTTGACTGAGACTCCACAAATCGAGTTTCAAATGGGAGTATGTCTCAAAAACGGAGGACTAGCCGCCGATCCATAATCATGACAAAGAAGGTGCAGCTTCGACATGTCAAAGAGCTGCGAAATATACAGCTGACATATGAGGTAGGTATGCCACTATGCGCTCTCCTGGTTCTGAGGCTTCGCGATGGCACCCAAATGTGAGGCATAGCTGCGAGCAGCGTGAAGAACTATGGTCTTGTGGATGTTTCTCAAAGGGTTTCAGCTGATTGAAGTCCTATCTAAATTTGGACGTCTTCGAATCGTGATGGAATTCTATCTCGGAGTGTCAACTCTCGAGTCAGAAGGTTACTCTAGCGCCAGATCTTGAAAGAACGGGAGAACCAGCATCTGAACATAGCGCAGAAATTCTGCTCGGGGAGAGGATGTGATCTTGGCCTCATATACCGATCAAAGCTCTATAGGTGAGTATGCCTTGGCCAACATCCGCAGTCGCAACTAGGTGGAAGACTCTTTCATGTCTGAATGGGATGAACGTGGTACGCGAGTAGCGGTAGATTCAACCGTGCCACGAAGCCCATAGTGCCAAGCGTAGCGAGACATTGCGCGCAAGTCGGGAATACCACAGTTGGTTTGCTCTGTAAGTCAACATACCCACTTCCTGGCACCCCCCTGTTTCTGGCACCCACAAAAACGCGAAAATCCACCACAACCCAATGCCCACCCCCAACCTCCTTTTATCACAACATTTTCAATTCGCGTCCAAATGGGCTCATCTTTTGCACATGTCTTCTTCTATATATAATGCCTCAATATACCGAAGATCAGCTTCGTCAGGCTCTCGAGGA